AAGACTCCACCACTTTGAACACTTCCGATTTACTACTGTGGCCAGTGTGTGTTCTGTCTAAACGGTTCCTTTGCCATTGCGATCGTGAATCCAAATTGAATCAACCTTCGCCACCAATCATTACTACCCTAATAAGTTAAAATTAAATATTGACTTCAACAGGCACTTTCAGCTTGAGAAACAACAATTATAAGCTCTTTTAGGCAGCCGGTTAAGACACTCAGACCATGTTCTTCAATTGGACATGCCCCTTTGAACGCTCGCCAGCCTAAAAATTTTTGTCAGATTCTAAATAGCTGACTGTTTGAAAGCTCTCCGAACGCTTGTCATACTCTACTTCGCTGTGCCATATTAACATCATTTCTTTGCATTGAGCGTCATTTGAGAGGTAAGCTGTCATACTAATCAGCCACAGTTCATCATCCAATAGCAACTGTAGCCTGAAACCGTGACAAAAAACGTGTCACGAACCCCATTTCAGCTTCGATTGATCATGTACTCAGACGATTTCGAATTGCAAATAGGAAGATGGGTGAAAATCTTTTGCCGTTTTGACGTCGCTTTTTCTTAACCTTCTTGCTATGTCACACTTATTGCGATCACAGTACGAATAAGCTTTGAGCACGACATCTTCCCCAATCACTAATGTACCACCCGCCCGAAATGGATCGAAAGTGTCAGACATTATTTGCTGTGTCAAGCTTCATATTTCTCGGAGTTCATTTGGCTCAGCGAGAAGACTGAAAGGTCAAGAAGGAGGAACCAATGTTCGTTTAATTTTTCAACCGCTTCAAAAAACTGTTCTGATAATTTGTCTGCATTCCTATTGCCCAGTCATTCGTGGCTCACTCTAAACTACTAGATAACAACTAATGACATTGTTTTACTGATAAAAACCTATTTTGAGTATGACGCCGTGCCACCTGCGATCTGATGCTATGAAGTGTTATTACTTCGACCAAGCAGAAACATGGCGTAGATATAACCAATGCACATTGCCGTATAAATAATGATAGATAAATTTCCTCACCTTTCGACTCGGTACTGTAAATAAGATAATGCACCTGACAAATTCGTCTCGGTCGACGTAGGCGTTCTGTCATTCCAAACGTTGCCTGATTCGATATCGGTGAAAATGGCACATGTGTAAACCGGATTTAAACTTTCAACTATCTTTGCTCTGGATGTACTATAATGTTGTCTGATGCGAAAGCCTTTTAATCGTGCGACATCGTCTCTACACCTGTCTGTGTTAATCAGCAAGAGATATTATTCTTGCTGTCTAATCATGATGAGAGGCTATTCTGTCAAACAGAGTCAAACGTTGGTACAACGAATTGCTGCCCAAATTATGG